ATCTGTTAGACTGCATCTTTATATATAACATACAGGCGGTCCCTACTTGGAGATCTGTTAGACTGTATCTTTATATATAACATACTTTTGGTCCCTACTTGGATATCTGTTAGACTACATCTTTATATGCAACATACAGGCGGTCCCTACTTGGGTATCTGTTAGACTGCATCTTTATATATAACATACAGGTGGTCCCTACTTGGATATTTGTTAGACTGCGTCTATTATATATAACACACAGGCGGTCCCTACTTGGATATTTGTTAGACTGCATCTTTATATATAACACACAGGCGGTCCCTACTTGGATATGTGTTTGACTGCATCGTTATATATAACATACAGGCGGTCCCTACTTGGATATTTGTTAGACTGCATCTTTATATATAACATACAGGCAGTTATATAAAGCCAGTATGCCCTGGCTTAAGGGTGGCCCAGCTTAAGGCACTCCCCACTTTTGGGTTTCCAAGCCTTCCCATAAGGATAATTTATAATTAAATCATTCAGGAACTAGTTTCTTCTGTGCACAGAAACAAACCTCCACGGTGTAAGTGGTTCACTGGGGCAGCATCCTACTAGCAGCTGGTCTCGTGGATAGAGTAACAGCTCATAGAAAGACCAGCATGCGAAGAAACAGAAGATCCAGAGCCACACAAGTGTACAGCCAAAGAATTAGCTGAAGCCTTTCGTCTCACTGAAGCAGGATCTGCTAAGTTTGGCGAGAAAGATCCTAACTCAGAGTGGGTGACAAAGGCTACTGAGATCAGTTGGTACAAGGTCATTTATAATAAAAAGGCTGCGCAAACTACCCTAGACTCCCTTTTCAAGAGACCAGCATCAGTGGTGAGTGTCCCTCTTCCAGCAATAGAATCAAATCTTGACTCTCCGGCACCCACTCCATCCTCATCATCATCTGACTGGCATCAGCCTCCCTTCTTACCTCAAAAATGACCCTTCCAGTAAGATACTGAGGTGACATAAGGTGAGTGTTAAAGTTTAATATTCTTTGCTACATTTCTCATGTAAGTTTGTTTTTATGTTCCATTTGTCTGAATTAGAAGAGCACAAAGTTTCTGTAACTTATTATACAACAGGGATATTACTACTATACTATTACATTACATTAGTATTACCACATATGAGCCATGAGGGTATTGCTATTATTATTACTACTACTGTATATGGATGGTTCATCTGGGATCTGAGTCACACACAAATCCAACCTAAACACATTCTCAGGGATGTATCTTGTCTATAACCCGGGAACCACCTTTACTTCTAAACTATACTCTGTGAGCATGCATTCTAACCTGCCAGATATACTGAATACCGCACTTGCTGGGAGGAGTGTAATCGTGAGGGTAAAAGGCTATTTGTGATATACTTAAATTTTCAAGATCAGTAACTGGTACCCCACCAACACAAAAAGCATCTGAATCTTTGGGGAAAAAACAAACAAACAAAAAAAACCCTCCAAACAATCAAGCAAAAACAGAGCACACAGACTGAGAATGTGCCACCAGAGCTCCTGACACCAGCCCAGTATCCCTGTGACCTGTAGTACTGTGGATGCTGGAGGCCTCAGGAGCCAGAACTCCCAGCTCTGGCAGTTACCAGCTTAGTGCCCAAGATAAGGAACTGAAGGACCAGAAAGCAAACCCTCTAGTGAGAGACAGTAGGTAGGAACTATACTCTGAATGCCTGTTTACCTAGAAAGGCTGGAACATCAAATCTAGCAGCAGGATGAAACAAATATACAACAGGCCTGGTCACTGTTCAGAGAAAGAATATTACGCCTGACCTCTATTCTGTCCCGTGTAGAAGTAAAACCTTGAAGGAAGCTGTGTTAAGACGGAAAGCACTAGTGCTCTGTATCTTTTATCAGTACTTTCTGTTTATGGACCCATCTGGGTTAGCCCCAGGTTAGCCCACTGCACAGTCACACCATAATGTGAGTCCCTGAAATGTAACAATGCTTTGTGTTCTACCTGATTTGGCTCTCGTGGGGTAAGAATAAGGAAAGGTGGGGTTTGAAGAAAATATCCTAGAATCACAAACCAGAAAGGACCACACAGGGGCCTCCAACCATAGCCTGTGGCTGGCTACAGATGCATAGCTAAGAGTTGTCCTGGGCCACACATTAAATACACACTAAAAAAAGCTGACAAGCAAAAAAGATCTGTGCATAATTTTTGTGGTATCTGCCATCACAGGTAAGCATTCATAGCCAGATGCAGGCTGCGGTTGGATGCTCCTGGCAGATGATCTTTAGGAAATAAATTTCATACTCTGGAAGGTCCAAGCAGGTGGACTGCTTAAGCTCAGGAGTTCAAGACCAGCCAGAGCAAGAGTGAGACTCTGTCTCTTGTTATGGCAGGCACCTGGAGACCCAGCTACTTGGGAGGCTGAGGCAGGAGGATCATGATAATGCCACTGCAGTCAACCCCAGGGTGACAGAGTTAGATTTTGTCTAAAAAAGAAAAGTAAATAAATAAATTTCAAAATTTAAGGGTGAGAGAGAATTGGACAGTGGAGGACCTTAAGGCCAGAAGAGGTGTCTGAACTTGAGACGATGTCTCCTGATGAAAACAGTTCTTTAAGAAGGCCTCAACAGGTGCATGCTCCCAGTTTAAGATGAAATAAATATAAAGAGGCAGAAGTGGGAGTTAGAAGAATGATTCTAGGAGAAACTGCAAATGAAGAATCAGAGAGATCTAAAAAGTTGGATATGTACAAAGTCAAACTTCACCACCCATGGAGACATTGTTTCAACTGATAGGTTGGGTTTTAATTTATTAGTAGAAAAAACCAAAAACAAGTCTCATAAAAAATTTTCATCTTTCCCAAAGAAGGTGAAAGGCTTCTTTAATTTCTCATCCCTGTCTCCCAGGGCCATGAGGATGGGACTGCTGTATTGAATTATTATAACATGCAAGTCTTTCTGGAGCTAACCTTAGGCAACCCTCCAAGGTTCCACAAGTAGAAAATTAATCAGCTCAACCACTAAGTGCTTTGAACCACAGGGAATAAGTGCATTGTGCTCCAAGTTGCCCTGGCTGCCTGTTTTCTCCCAAGTGTTACTAAAGGTGCAAAACTAATTCACAGCTTTGGCTCCAGATGTGTCTTTACTATGTGCCTCCATGGGAAACAAAGTCAGCTGGTGCGCACCTGCCAGATGGACCGCACGACCATAGCAGGAAGCCGGAGCTGTGGTAATCTGTGACCCTGGGGCTTGACTCACCCATGTTAATTTAGTACCTCTGCTGTTTACTGCCGCTGTGAACAGCTAACCTTTAGAGACCAGTGCAAGACAGCTTGTGAGCTGGGATGTGTATGGATGTGTGTATACACAAACACTACCAATTTTTGCTTTCAGGAGATCTAATTTAATTATCTGATGGCTGTTTTTGCAGAAGGCCCGGGTCTGGAAGCCCAGTTCTCTGGTTTTAGAGATCAAATTGCATTCGGCAGAGAAAAGAGAAGGATGGAGGCAAAAAGAGTGAGAAGAGACAAAGGAAACAGACAAAGCTTCCCGAGAACAAATTAAAGCTTGGTCAGAGCTGCCTGGCCGTACAGAACGAGGAACACACTTCTCCTTTCAAATGTCACAGCCGCAGTCAAAGATAATATTTCACTGCTTGGAATAGAACCCAACATTTTACACGAGGACAATGAGCCCTTTCTTCCCCAGGTAACGATGAGCTTGTTCCTGAAATAAACGGTCACATGGGGTTGTTGAAGGAAGTTTATAGGCCTTTGGGGACTCTGCTTTTATTAAGAGGAGGAGAGTCACCCCCCACTCTGTCTTCCTCATTGTCCTTTATCCACGTAAATGGTTTAAGATAGAAAGTTTTCCCAAGTAAAATTTCTGGAGTAATTTCCAGAGTAACAGTTTAAGGAAATAAATCATAGTGGATTAAGAATGGCTATCTGGGCTCGGCGCCTATAGCTCAACCGGCTAAGGCGCCAGCCACGTACACCTAAGGTGGCGGGTTCGAATCCCCAGCCCAGACCCGCCAAAACAACAATGATGGCTGCAACCAAAAAATAGCCGGGCGTTGTGGCGGGCGCCTGTGGTCCCAGCTACTTGGGAGGCGGAGGCAGGAGACTCGCTTGAGCCCAGGAGTTGGAGGTTGCTGTGAGCTGTAATGCCACGGCACTCTGCCCAGGGGGACAGCTTGAGGCTCTGTCTCAAAAAAAAAAAAAGAATGGCTATCTGGAAGAAAGGGACTCTTCCTGGTCTGTCCACAGGCTGCCGCTATGCTCCCAGGCTCTGGGGGAGGGGGAAGTGTGAAGGATGCACAGGGGACCCTAAAGGGGAGTTGTCCACTGTGCTTTCTGACTCCTGTCCTGGCCTCCACAGTCTTGGGGGCTCTTTTCCTAGCCCCTCTCCATCCTCTGCACGGTGCTGGAATAAAGGTATTCCAGATACACTGTCAGACTCACAGACATCATTCTTTTGGTTTTAATAACCCTGGCAGCGACCTGTCACCACAGCCATACTCCTTAAGGACTGCCTGCTGTGATTCAGAGGCTCAAAATAAAAGAGGATGAGACATCACTGTCAGCTGGCCAAAGGACCAGGACCAAAGTGGGTGGGACCCAAAAGCACCCTGGAGGAGCTCAACAAATGAGCAAGTGCAGAAATTTTTTTCAGCCAGATTTTTTTTTTAGGACAAGGTCTGGCTGGTCAGCTGCAAGCTGCCGACTTAGCAGGGGGACAAATCACAGTGTGTGTATAGTGACAACCCCATGGAAATAGTGTAGCCAAACTGAGAAGTAGAGAAAAGACCAAAACAAAGCAAAATGAAAACCACCATTTTTCCTTTTTTTAAAAGTTAAAACGAGAGCCATTTTTATTTGGGGGAACATTATCCCATATCACATGATGTAAAATCACAACTTACAAGCATTTTCCCTTTCCTACTAGAACCCAATGATGCACGCTGTTTGTTCAGGCTGTAAGACTAGACTTTTACAATTACATTTTAATTCAGTCCAACAGCTCAGTGTATTCTTGAAAACTTTTTTTTTAAACATCAGATGCGGCTACAGGTTTAGTTTGTTTTCTGTTATGTGCACTGTCCGTTCTTGTACATACAGACCAAGCCTGAATCAAACACTGTATTTGTTGGTGCTGATTTTTAATCAACATAGAACAAGAGCTGCTCCTGCTCCCAGAAGAACAGAGTCTGAGAACGTAAGTCTGATGAGAATGCAACGTCAGCCGTTTACGTCTCCCCGTGTTCTAAGCATGTTTTATGGTTTTATTCCCATTAGATAATTTTGGCTGTAATACAGGACACGTGGTTTTCAACAGTGTAGCACTATTTCCATGTCCCCACAGAAACCCCAACATCAATCTGACTGGTAAAGCGAGCAGCAATGGTGAAACACACTTACCTGGAGACAAAAAGGAAGTAAACTGGTAGAAGATTTCGGTGTCCTTCTTCTGACCGCTGTACCCCACGACGCTGCCGACCTCGAGGGGGAAGGTCTTGAGCAAAGCACCAGTCGCCAGGTCGTGAAGCTGCAGAATGTTCTTCACATCATGGAGGTAGCACAAGACCAAGAAGTTGGACCTGACGCAAGCTACCCATTCTGGAGAGGAGAGAGCAAACCTTTTGGAAGTTAATGAAAACCATACTATTTATCACACTGACAAACAGTCAGTGCTATGCAGCAATGAGGCCTGCAAAATCATTTCGTGATTGGTTTTAATTATTCCATCTGGTTTTTAGTATATCCCCTTAATAAGCGATTGTTGCTGTTATGTCCAGAGAAAGTGAAACCTTCTTCACTTTGAGCTTAAGACAGGCAACATATAGAATATAAATAGTCCTGCCTACCTATGTGTCCAATATCAGATTACAGGAGCTACTAAAAACAACAATAAAAACCAAATCATGATTTGTGTCTGAAAAGGTTATTTGACAAAAATATGTTAAGCTCTTTATATGCACAGATTCCCTGCAAGGAGCTAGGGAGACAAGTAGAAAGATGAGGTCATTTCTGCCCCTGAGACACAACCATAAAAAAATACAAGTAGTAAGATATAAACAAAGGTAAGGGATTGGTTTTTTTTTTTGCAGTTTTTTGGCCGGAGCTGGGTTTGAACCTGTCACCTCTGGAATATCGGGCCAGCGCCCTACTCCTTTGAGCCACAGGTGCCGCCCAGGGATTGGCCGTTTTGAGGACTCACAATGAGAGAGAGCACTTGAGCAAGGGCTGAACTGAGCGCTGAGTAAGGTGTGTGGAGACAGTAGGGGTGGGTGATGGGTCTACCAGGGAAGGAGGGAAGAGGTGGTGGGAAGACAGGTAACTTAAGGGGTGGAGGCCAAAGCTAGAAATGAGGAGAGCGGGAAGGAGTACGGACGCACGACCAACAGGAAGGACAGGAGGACGAGTGGTAAAGAGAACAAGTGAGAGATCCATTTTCAAGAAGAAAACTGCTGCTGGGTGCTGCGGCTCACACTGTTATCCCAGCACTCTGGCCGAGGCAGGTGGATTGCCTAAGCTCCAGGGTTCAAGAGCAGCCTGAGTAAGAGTGAGATCCCGTCTCTAAAAAATAGGGCACTGTGGTGGGCACTACTTGGGAGACTGAGGCAAGGGAATCACTAGACCCCAAAAGTTTGAGGTTGCTGTGAGCTATGATGCCACCACACTCTACCAGGGGTGACAAAGTGAGACTTTGTCTCCAAAAAAAAAGAAAAAAGAAAAAAAGAGTTGTCAGTTCAGGGGTGGGTGGCCATGCTGGTGGTGGCCTAATGGGGGATTCTGTGAGCTCGGTAGGAGGGAGCTGGTTACGTGTTACTGAGGGGCTGCTGTGTGAACAGAGGGTGACATAAATAAAGATGGCATTAATAGAGCCCGTACCTGACAGCCGAATGCGGCCCAATGGGAGTCTCTATCAGGATGGAAGGGAGCTGAGGACAAACCTAACAGGCAGAGCACCACATCAAGCTGGGGACAAAGACTGGGCCGGAAAGAGAAGAAATGAAGGGTCTTTCTCAAGAAGAAGCCCCAGGACTTGACAACTTGAAACGAGCTCTCCTCCCTCCCAGGGCTGCAGCTTGGGCGACAGAGCTGGGAGAACAGGAGGGAGCCAGGTGACGGGGAGGGGAAAGGCCCAGGCGGCCATCAGAGGCCAGTCTGAGGTCAGCAGGGTCATCCAGGGGGAGAGATACTGTGGCCGACAGAAGCAAGGACAGAGCCGCAGTGGCAAACATGCCCTTGGGTTCCAAGGCGGAGGTGGGGTGGGGTGGGGTAGTTCTGGGCAATGATTTTCTTCCATAACCCTGGAAACCAGCCGTTCACACTTGTGATGTCAGAATTTATCCACGTAAACAAGACACGAAACTCTGCGCTTCAGTCTTGGGTTGCTTAGGTTACTATAGCTAACTTTTCCTCATGTGAGGTTACAAAATTACAGCCAAAAGTAATTTTTTTCATTCTCCAATATGACTTCTTAAAAAATGCCTCATGCAGCCTAAAGCTCTAAAGAAAGCAGAGTAAGGGGGAAAGATGAAGTAAATTATGGCTGTCAGAGACTCATCAATCCGTGTTAACTATGAGTGCATCAGAATTATCAAACAGACAAAAGTGAATATGAAAAGGACAAAGTGATTTGTAGACTGTCATTAATAAAAGCTCTGACTTTATGGCTGTACTTCATGACTCACCTCTAGTTTTTATTCTCACCAGGGCACTCTGTGCTAATGACACGGCAACTTCAACTGTGCTTCTCCTTGAATTGATGAGTTCTAGTGAACAGCCAAGGTTTCCCTTTCCAATCTAAAGAGCTTACGTGTATAACCTTTTCAGAGGGAGGGTTATAAAAACACATCACCCCCTCAAATCTCCGAGCATTCATTTGCATTTCATTAGATCTCTAAGATGAGGTGTCACCTTAAGGTGCAGTTAAATCCCTTTGACTTTAAATGGTGGAAAATTCAGATGCTGTGGGGATTATTTACATCTATGATGGCTCCTATACGAGAACCACTGTTCCAACCTGATTTGCACTTGGAAAACCAAGGGCACCCCACATGCAGACTCGTGACAGCAAGTCTCATCTCAGGTGACTGCTCGTGGTGAAGAGTGCTAAATCTGAAACTCAGGAAACACTCCCTAAATGCTGGCTGTCACCACACCTAAGGGGGCATTCCTGTCTCAGTTTAGACAGAAGCCATTAGGCTACCCAGATGACCATGAAACAGATTCACTGCAAAAGATGTTCCAGGAAATGGTTAAGCACCTGCTCCACAATGTCTGATCCAAACATAAAGAAGGGTCAGAAGGCTTTGAGAAGACAGGTGATAAGGTCTCTCAGGGAAAGAAACCTATGCTATGCTGTGAGTCCCTCTCCTGACTAGAGTGAGGCTGACAGGGTTACTGTCTTCTAGTAACCGCAGCCTGAGAGAGACAGAGCATTGGTCTGTCCAAACAGACCTGATCCAAACCTGGGAAGTCAAAGGGAAACCTGGAAAGCAGGAGAAGGGCCAACCGCTTTGGAGGAG